AAAAAAAAAAATTTTGAATTTACTTACTTGTAGCCGGAGTTAGAGGCGGTCGGATACTTATGACCGCTACTGTAGTTTCAATTGTATAGGTTCTTGATTACTTTTGAGAATGGTGTACGCAATTGAACTATAAAATTCTATTTTCTTGTTCATTATTGCAGCACTTGAATATAAATAATCAGCATATGCTCTATATGGATCACGAAAGAATGGATGATTTTCATCTAACTTTTTTGATAGACCTTTACTCTTAATTTTTTTGACATCCCATTGGTTGTAAAGTGAAATATCAATAAAATTTTTGTTATAGCATACCATTGCTATTATATCTAAATAATATTAAAAGTCAATTATGTAATTTAATTAAGAAATTTGATTTCATTGTAAATTAATAATAAATATTTACCATTATTTTCTTCATTCATAAATGTAAATGGACTTTCTGTAACATACCAGCCTGACAATATTGCGTAAAGCTTTAGATCTATAGTTAAATTTTTTAGCGCATTAGTTCTTATGTTAAAGCAGAAGTCTGTCTAACCATCAACGAGATTTTATAGTACCTGTACTGTATTATATCATCAGGTAAGATTAAGTTCGATCACTTTGCAGTTCATATGTGGAATCATTCCCTTAAATATCTGATAAACCATTTCTTTCACACCAACTGCAGTATTTACAAGTGTGACAAAATTACGAGCATATTGTTAAAGATGTTATTTATATATAAATTAGGAAGATTTGTAAAGTTATTTGGAAATAGCTATTAAATAAAAAAAAAATTAAAAAATAGTATTAAAATGAATTATTAATAAATGTAGCTAAAACCTTCAGTTTCGTTCACTAACCTATATAAGCATATCATGTTCTCTTTTAAGATATTCCTGCAATTTCTGGTAAATATTTTCTGTTATAGTAATTGAGAATACAAGTTTTAGTACCTTAGCTTCAATTGTCTAACACATATATAATTTTGATACTGCCAAATTTTGTTTTATTCCAAATATTGTAAGCCAATTATTCAAAGTCTCCGCCTTTATATGATAAGGTTTTAAAAAGTGTTTAAGTATGAATGGTATTATTATCACAAGCCTTAATATATCAAAGAATATAAAACTCTGACAATGTCATAATAGATTAGATATTTAACACTAATGTGTAGGCTTTTCGATCTATTTTCAATACTCTATAAAAGAATTTTCAACATTCATATTAAACACATTAAATATCACTTTCAGTAGAGTACGTGCCTTTTCAGTCATATAGTGATATGTGTTATGTGGTGTTTGAAGATGCCAGTCCATTTAAGTATTTTAAATGGTGAAACTGGCAGAAACTGACAGACCTGTTGAATATGTCATATATGCCAAATCTGCCAGATCTGCTAAATCTGCCAAATAGAACACGAATATTATTTATTATATCTTTATTATATCTATTATTTATATCATTTATTATATATTTAACATAATTAGCATATCTGTTAGCT